TTATTATATGGTTCGTTTTTCTTTTATTTTTGTTGAAAGTGATTTTTTATTTGAATTTATTTGAATACCAGTACAATTTTGGAAAATGATTGTTTCATATGTTGTTTATTCGAATAAGCGAGTTTTTGTTAAATTGTAATTGTTTTTTTATTTCTAATTCTTTTTTTTTGGAAGAATCATTCTCGTGTTCGAGTGGGTTGACCAAGTTTTTAATCTAACGTTGAAACAATTTTGTTTGTTTTTTTTTTTTCGATCAAGCTCAGTGTTATTTTTTTAAATCTTGAAAGAAATCTAAATGAATAATCTTCCATTGTTTTGAACATCATAATTAAATTCATCAATGTGTTTCGAACCATTTATTGAAACAAACGAGATGTTTTTTTTTTCTTTTAAATAAAATCTGTTTCATTGACAATTTTATTTGACTCAACAATTGATTTGTTATTTCTATTCTTTGTTTTCTAGGTATTTATTTTAACATTAGCTACTAGCACTGTGGTGTTAGCTCAAACCGATAACTCAACTCGTTCGGTTCGTGCTCCTCAAGCTGCACAAATCAACTACGATGATCCAAGCGGTTAGTTTTATTTTTTATTCTAAAACATTGAAAACAATTTGTGTTATAAACCAAAAAATAATGAAAATAATTGATATAAAACGTATTATTATTATATTTCTGTATTCAAAAAAAGATTATTATATTATATTGAATAATTACCTACATTTAAGGTTCGAAAGTGAATTGGAAATTTTATGCACCATACAATCAACAACGCACTCACCTGGAGAATCCTCAACGAACTCAACGAGCCGAGACTTCGTTAACTCAAGCGCAAATCCCATCAGCACCAAGTCAACAACATCATCAACGTCTGGTCCAGTCTCATCATCAACCAACACCAATATCCAATTTAGTATCAACACAACCGGAATACAAATCATATGCATCGGTACCAATACATATTAAAGAATTGATACTTCAAACGTATCAACCACAACGACCATACGTTGACCCATCTTCATTTATTTATCAGCAAAGTGAACAATTATCACCAACAAAACAAACCAATTCACGTGCTGATATTTCTCATTCCAATCAATACGAATCACCTGCTAGGAAATATCAAACAATCGATGACAACAGATCAGCATCTACGAATTTTGATTACAATCATGATGGTTTACCTAAATCATCTCAAGAAAGAATTGATTTTAAATCAGATTATGATCAACATACACAAAATACTGAACAATTTCAACACCAACAGGAACAAATTCAGCAACAACAGGCACAAATACAGCAACAACAACAGCAACAACAGCAACACATTATTGGTATTACTGTACCGGTTGAAACTATGCCAGTTCAACCGGCACCTAAATTGGTCATCGACAAGAACATGCCGCAAGAAATTCAACAGTTGTTACATTACCAAGCTCAGATACCCTATGATGTCATAGCTAACAGAATAACTTACAGACCTAAAACCCTGTTCATTCCTAAACCGATTCCGGACGACTCTAAAGGATCATATTATTACAAAAGTAAGATTTATTTCATGAAGGATGATAACATTGACGAAATTGAGAACACCAAACCGGTCGAGGAAAATCAACACCATTGATCATCCCGTACATTTTTTATTTCGTTATTTCGTTATTTTTTTTCATCGATTTAAATGTCATATTTTTTGTTTTGTTTTATTTTTTTTTTAATCGATATTTTCTTCCCTTTTTTTTTTTTTATTACCATCGGAAAATGTGATCGTGCACATATTTTTTTTTCTCTTTTTTTACTTTTTTTTTCGAAAGAAATTATTAAAAAAAAAAAAAAAAAGAGAAAAAGGAATAAGAAGAAATAAACAGAAAATAATTTCCGCTTGCGAGATTCGTAATTCCTTTCGAATATTTGCTTCCCTCTTTTTCTTTTTCTTTTTCTTTCTTCTTGACTTTCACAAAAAAAAATCCATATGATTGACGTTACGAGAACGTTAATTAAATTTTAATGAACACTCGACTTATTATATTTCCATGTGTTACTTTTTCAAATTACACAAACATTCTAACATGTTACGATTTTTGTTCGAATGTTTTACAAATAATATATTTTTTATATTTTGTGTGTATTAAATAAATAAAAAAAAAAAAAATTGAAAACAAAAGAATACATTATTATTATTATTATTATTATTATTAATGGTTAACATTTCTCCGGATATGAAAGATAATGTAAAACGATCTACTTTCGTATGGCCTTCATGGTCTTTGCAAATAAGTTTATACCACCATACCCACGAGTTTTCTTACACGCAATTCTACCACTTTCGTTTTTACTGTTCACCAACAATACTCGGAGACTTTTCTGCCACTCTAGTGTTCCATAATTTGTTCTAGTTTTGTTGTCTACCACATGCCAATGGCTTTTGTGGTCATTAGATACACTTCGACAAAATGTATAATTGTTTGTCAAAGATACGCTTTCCAGTTTTTTTTCTTTTCTCTCTCTATTCGAAAAGTTTAACTTTACTGCACACTCAATTTTTATTTTATTTTATTTTATTTGTCGAATATAATATTTTCTATCCTATGATTAAAATATTTTCTATTATATATTAATGGGAAAAAAGTATTTCAAATACGAATAATTGTG